ATTAAGAGGGGTGGTAATAAGAATAAAGATATACGGGCGTTAAAATAATAAAAAAGTTGTTCTTAATATTGTTCCAAAGATAATTTATATTTGGTGGCTATCCACAAACACAAACCACCATATATATATGTTCCATGATATGTACAAGAGAGGAGGTAACACTAAAAGTGAGAGTAACAAAATGAGAAGAACCAAAATTATTAAAATCATTATAGATTTTTATGAAACTTAATGGGACTGTGACCACTATATTTTCCACAAATAGGTTGCCAAAGTGAATCGGTGCATTTTGACGAATATCAACTATTAAATGACGACTTAATTCAACTAACATATATGAAAAGTAAAACTCAAATACCCTATGATCAATATCACATTTGACAATAAGCATTAAAAAAAAAAAAGTCAATCCTCAAGATGATATAAGGTCATAAGCCCAGTGCCGAAAATTTTATAACAAATGTTAAAGACTTAAAAGATAAAATGTAGACTTTTAGCAAACATTAGAACTACAAATCATGATTAATAACAAGTATAGATCAATATTTTAAAATATAGAGATAGACAAAGATAATCCCTTAAATGTCAAATAAAGAAGTATCAAAACTTAGTTATGATGTGGCCAAAATGAAAAAAATAGTTCCATTAATGACTAAGATCCTAAAGCTAATATTATTGAAAGAAAACGGCATTAAAATGACAAAATATGAATTTAGCCAAACCTAAGGTAACATACATAAAGAAAAAATTATTTTGAATAACTGAAAATAATTTAGAAAAATCTCTTGCTACTACTCTTCCAATTAGAAATGGATGAAAAGAAACCAGTAACAAAAAATATAGAAGGATTATAAGTAATTTTTTGAAATTTTCTCCATCTTTTTTAAGAATGATTGTAGTTTCTCACATTTTTCACCCTCTAGCGATAAGCAAACTTCAGTTATGGTGCTTAGTCCTTGAATGCTCTTCAAGCCCAAAATTACCATTGTGATTGATTTTTTTATCCTTTCTCATAGGCCTTAAAGTCCCTCCTTGAGCCCTTGAAAAGTGTCATCATATCTACAAGTTGTTGACCTACTTGTATTTTGTTGTCGATGAAAGTTCTCAATGCTAGTAATTATTAATAGACGCCTTTGATGATCATATATGAAAATATGGTTTCTTTTGGATGAACTTCTTGTCTTTTAAATCTCTTGTCCTGCCTTTTTCAAGGTAGAAAAACTCTACCATAAGGCATTAATACGTTGCATGATATACAACATTTTAAGTGCTTTTAACACCTACAAGACAATCTCTCGAACATTATTTCTCATGTTTATATTCTAATGGTAAGGTTACTTTAACATAAATTGTGCATTTTAACGTAGACACCTAGAAGGAATGTTCATAATTGACGTGTACATTCATATATAAAAATGATATAATTTTAAAAAAGAAAGATGACTATTTGGCCTCAATACCACCCTTTTATGGACTTATTAGTGTGCATTAAAGTCATTATTATACACCATCAAATGACTGACATGGCCAATCTTTTGTGGCGTGCTAATAAAAAGGTCGTATGCATTCGTAAATAAAAATATATACTTGCCAAGTTTATAAGGGAGGAGATTCCCAATTACAAAATAAGATAGTTTCCAACAATGATGAACATGATTAGATTACTAAAATTTTTTATCATTAGCTTCGAACGAGTTCTAGTTTACATAGTATCATTTCTAATATGAATATGTAAGCATTGATTGGAGGAGCAAGCATAAAGTATTTTATGCTAGTATTAGTACAACAATGAGTTTGACATCACCCATTATGAGTTAAAAACACAAACTCAAATACATAACAAGTTTTGAGGCGTAATTGACAAGATGAAGAGATAAAGCCACCAAAATGAGATAGTGATTTTTTGTAAGAGAAAGCAGAGTGGTTATTAATGGTGTCATACCAGTCATCTTTAAAAAATTACAATTCATAACCCTAGACCTTTATAGATCTTTATATATATGGCATTTAGATTGAAGATTCTGATGTTGCCAAGAGCAAGACATTTATTTTATAAATCTGATCATAAATAAATAATTTTTATCTCTATACTAACACCTTATCATTTTTGCCCTTACTATCTTATCATTATTTTTTCTTTAAATCTAAATATACTAATTACTTAGATGTCTAAATGATCATTTACGATATAATTAATGATTACTACTTGTTCCTTTGTGCAAGTTACTTACATATTAGATTTCAATTAACATTCTCTCTATCACTCAATTGAGTTTATATCCAAATTTCGACATCATTTATTCGAACTATTTGCAAAAACTACACAATCAACTATGATGATAAAAACAACTCCCATATTGCCACTAGTTTGGTAAAAAAGAATTCCATAAAGATAAGATAAATGATAATCTTATTTTCTTGCAACAAGAAAATGATTGTTTTTATAAGGTTATAGAGGATAATACTTCATTTGTAGATTTTCTGAAATACAAACTTCTACACACAAGAGAGTTGATAAAAATTATCTTCAATCATAAAAGACAAGTTTACAAAGGAATAAGGATAAGAAAATACATTAATTTTTTTATAGAAAATAAAAATAAATCATGTTGAAAGTTAGATATGGGCACGAATATAAGGCATCTGTTGAGACGAGCAAAAAACTCATAAGTACTATGTTATAAGACAAGTGCAGATGAAAAATTATAAACCCATAAGAAATATGGGGAAGTGGATATAGATTAAGTGATACACCCACCCATCTCATTCTGCTTTATATATGATTAATAAATTTTAATTATACTCAAATTGATCAAATTTTAATGTTTAATGCGGTATTCTTATAATATTATTAAGTAAATTATGTTGAATATTATTTTAGTATTTTGTTTTGACTAACACTTAAGGTTTCTCAATCCA